TGGAATATGGGATACCAGAAAAGGTATTAACGGATCAAGGTACCAACTTTCTCAGTAAAATATTTAGAACAGTATGCAAATTACTAAAAATTGAAAAGTTTCAGACCACCGCGTACCATCCACAGAGCAACGGAGCACTGGAAAGATCGCATAGAACACTCGCGGAATACCGACCCTACATAAATAACGACCAAACAAACTGGGATGAATGGATCCCATACGCGATTTTTACCTATAACACAACTCCGCACACAACCACGAAATATACGCCATTTGAACTGGTATACGGGTATCAAGCAACCCTACCATCATCTATACTAACAACGCCAAAGATCACGTATAGCATCGACGATTACGCACAGGAAATAAAACAACGGCTCCGAACAACAAATCAAGTAGCCCGAGAACACGTTAAGGAAGGAAATGCAAAAAGCAAAAAATATTATGATCGAACAGCTAAAGGAACTGTACTTGACATAGGAGACCAAGTACTATTACACGATGAAATAATACGACGAGGAAGATCGAAAAAGCTAGATGCAATGTGGATAGGACTCTACGAAATAATTCAGAAGCACGGAAATGAAAATTACACAATAAAACGGGGCCGACGAACGCTACGCACGCACGCGAATCGCATAAAACTATACATAGAAAACTAAAACTTACCGACGAGGCGGCACACCCCTACCGCGTCCACGTAATATGCTGGGCCAGTGTGTAGAGGCCCGGGATGGTACAGCGAGGGGCAGGGTTTCCACCTCGGAAGTATTAGCGCCACCGTTTCCATGACCTCTAGGAGGTCGACGTGAAATCATGCCGGATTGACCCCCTGGGGGGAGGCGACGCGCCTCCTCGCCGTACAAGACGACGGGCGGCGAAAAAGGCGCCGTCGGGGCAACTTCCTGCGGCAGGAAGAACTCCGAGCACGATGGGCAATCCCACTGGAGAAATAAACAAACAAAATATAAAAACACCACACCACAAAACCATACACAAGAAGAAAAAGTCACAAAACACAAATGACACTACCACTAAGCATGCGGGACAGGACATACGAGTGGGCGACATCCTGAATGAAACTAACAGAGCTAAACAAAGCTAAATAAGAGGTCCCCCCAACGCAAACAAACAATTTAGAAATAAAGAAAGAAGGAGGCATTTTTATCCCACACGAAACACGATCAGAACAGGAAAAGGGGATCATATTTACCTAAACACCCGACCCAATATACTTACAGGGCATTCAGCCTGATAAGGAGTACGAGCCTCAGGACAAACGGGTTGTAAGCAGAAACCCCATTCGAAATCAACGAATTCCTACACACACCTGGTGTGTATTATGACACGCAAGGACGATTACACCAAATAGTTTCAGCATGGAAAACTCTCATCAAAATGGATATACATTCAATAGATGTTAGACGAAATTAAATACAAGGATACCTCAACAGCGCAGAAAGAATTTGCAATTAACAAAAGAAGACAAGTACCATATGGCAAATATGCGATAACCTACGTGAAGTAGTACAGAAAAACTTTGACCGTATACAGAACATGACGGAACTCATACACAGCATATACAAAATTTTCACATACGCAAAACGAGGGATAATAGACGGAATAGGCACAAAAGCAAAATCATTGTTTGGCGTAATGGACGCAAATAACGAGAAAACAATAACCGAACAAATAGACCTATTACACAATAAGCAGGAAACCTTACAACACGCAGTGACAAACCAATTAAAAATTATTAATACAACAGTCCACCACCTTGATAACCTCGAAAAAACTTTAGAGACTAACGAAAAAATAATATGGAATAGCATAACACAACTTTATACAGGTGAAGTTGGACTCACATTAAGACAACAAATAGACGAACATTTTACAATACTAAACGCTTTACTGGATGATCTGGTACGTGACCAAGACGACATAATTTACTATTTAGATAAAATAAAATCAGGAAACTACCGACAAGATTAACACCAATAGACAGTATCATATCTCAGCTGAAGGAAATATCCATACACGTACCAAAAGGCACACATTTCCCGTTTACACTTAGGAAAGAGAACTGGGTAGAAATCGAATAATTCTGCACAATCAGCGCGTATTATAAAGACAAAAATATTTTCACTATATTAAACTTACCTCTCATAGCTTATCCAACATACAAAATAATCCATGTACACCCGTTTCCTGTATATAGTCACGACAATATTTTTGTTTTAACTGAAGTCACACACACTAAAATCGCAGTTAGTCAGGAAACAAACACATACATGATATTACGCGAAAACGAATTAGCTGAATGCATAAAATACAGGAACCATTATACTTGCCCGCAAAGAAACGCAATATTCAGAATCAATAAATAATCACCGTGCGAAATCCTAATGTACACAACGCTAAAAAGTATAACAAATTGCCAGAAAAAATATATCTCGGCAAATCACACGTTTATTATCGCGCTAACACAAAAGAACGCGTGGCTATATTCCACGAGCAGCGAGCAAACCGCTCACATCCAATGTCGCGACCAAACATATTACAGAAAAATCAACAAAACGGGACTAATAAACATTAAAAAACAATGCAAATTAACAGTAGAGGATATTATATTACAAGCACAAGGTACCGTAGAAAACACGTTCATACAAACACACATACTAGAATACAACATAACATTAGAACAAGAATACATAAACACAATTAAATATAAAAACGAAATACTACATGTGAAACCGAACAAAATAATACAAAATCCATCGGAATTAGCGGAACTCAGTAATATGATAACACAAACGTATTATAATTTAGAAAATGGATCAAACTCCTTGACGTATTACAAAAACATAATTTATACAACAGCATCAAGTGGAATAACGATAATAGTAGTAATTATATTAGTAATAATTGTAATAAGAAAAATAAAACAGAAAGCAGACCCACCAGTAATAGTAGAACGAAACAGTCAGCGAAATACAAGAACACGTGCTAAACCGATAATACCCACAATTCCTGCGGTAGCACACAGACACAGCTTATACGAATAAGATATAAACAATGGGTGTATATCAGTTGAACACGGGGCAATTGGACACAGTCCAATCACAAGTCGCTGTTCCAAGGGACCCTACAAATGTTTCTAATCACACGCTGTGATTGGCTGTGTCCAAATGCACCGTGTCCAAGTGCACCGCTCCCATAAACAATACACGATTGTAATTACATTTATATACGGGAAAACAAATTTGTAACACGAGTACAAAATAATAAAGTATAACAAGTACAAACGATTATAACTATAATTGTAAACGGAAACAAACGAAAAAATGTATGTAGAATAAGAATGCGAAAACCTCTCTAGACACTCCGTTTTCTTTTCCCAAGGAGGGGAGGGATGTTATAATCGCGAATAGTATCAGCGTTTTCGAAACACTTCTCGAGCAATTGTTTCGATTGCGCCACAACAAGGAAGCGGGTGTGCAAGTGCGGTGATAAGCACCACCTTGCACATTCCGCATTGAGGACCTCAATTCCAAACGCATTACACCATTACCAAATATGGTAAAGTTCTTGTCGCCAGGCACCCCCTCCGACAAGCCTAAAACAATATTATAAACGAGCGGAGAAGACCGCCCGCGTTAGACTTAACACCTCGGTCTCTCGCCGCGACATACGCGACCAACGCGCGGTTCGCACATTAATAATAAGTACGTGAGTAGTAATTAAAACACATACAAGTGTACTTAACAAATAAACCTTTTTATATTTAAAAACTACAAGAAGTAGTCACATTGTCTACTACATTTTATCCACCGCCACACACCCTGCCGCGCCCGCATCACCGATCTCGAACTCTTTTTCGTGTCCTGGCAACACGGGCACGACAACACCAACGACCCCCTCCCCAAACGCTCCATGGGGTGTGGGGGAGTATGCTCCCTCCGGCCGTTCCGTCGCATAGCCGCGCGGCGCGGGACCCCACGCCGCGCGACCCATTCCTCCTTGGGAAGGGGCGGGGCCGGTTCGCCACCCGGTTACCCGCCCCTTATGCCATTGGTACCGGCCGACTTACAGGGGGGTGGAGCAGGCTTGTGTCGGCCCCCTCCCCCCTGTGGTCAGGACCCTCCTATCCCGGGAGAGGAGGGGAGCGGCAACGAGTGCGCCCGCGATGCCCCCTCCCCCGAAGGATGGCCGCGCATCGCCGCCACCTTACCCACTCTCCCTCGCCAGCCGCTCCAGGCGCCACCGCCGAGTCTTGGCGGCACCTGTCGCGGACGGAGGGACTGGAGCCGCCGCCTGCGGGCTTCTAGTGTCCTAGCAGCGGCGGCCTCCCTCCTCTGGTGTTTCTCTTCGCGTCGCCTCCTCCGCTGGGGAGGCGGCCCGACGGGCGCAGCCGGCGCGGCTCCTGGAGAGGGTGGAATAACCCTTCCCGCCACGCCGACTTGCGCCCTCCTTCTCGGTGCCGGCACACCCCGTTGGTGTGCCGGCCGAGGGCGGGGGGCGCGGCGAATTCGCCGACTTCCCACAACCATTTCCCCCCGTCTGGCCGTCTCCTGCTCCTCCTTCTGCGACATAACTTCTTCGCAGAAGGAGGTGACAGCTGACCAGGCCTCTCGCCCCCTAGCATGGCCCTGGTAAGGGCCGGGGGCAGGAGGTCCACTCCCACCACGCTTGCAAGAACACGGCGCTGTCCCTCCCACGCCGGGTATTCGCCCAGCGTATGTTGCGCCGTGTCCTCAGCCACATCGCAATGGTGGCAGCAGCTGGTGCGCTCCTTCCGGACGACCCTATGCAGGTACTCACCGAAGCAGTTATAGCCGGTGAGCATCTGGGTCGCCCGGAATGTGAGATCTCCGTGTGCCCTGCCTGCCCACTCCTGTAGGCAGGGCAGGATGGCATTGGCGACCCTATTCCCGGAGCGGCCCGTCGCCTCCTCCAGCTGCATCTTCCAGCGGAGGAGGAGGCGTTGTCGGGCCTGCTCCCTAGCGAGGGCTATGGCCCTGGCCAGTTCCGTCCCGTTGTTGGTCCCCCGACGGAGCTCCCCAGTACGCCGATTTTTCGGCGTACATCATAGCAAGGAGCTCCACCGGAGGGATTCCTGCCAGGGCCGTGGCCGCCGCCTGCGACGTGGTCATATAGGCCCGGACGAGGCGAGTGGCCAAAAACCTTTGGGCCCGGCGGACCATTTGTTGGATCCGCCGGGACCCGGCCATCTCCCCCGCCCAGATCGGAGCCCCGTATAGGGCCACCGAATGGACCACGTTCGCAAACAGCCGCCTAGCCCGCCTTTTCGGGCCTTTCGCGACGTTGGGCAGGAGGGCACCCAGCGCACCCGCCATCCTGTTCAGCTTGGGGGTTAACACCTCAAAATGTTTCTCAAACCCCCAAGCGCCATCCAGGGTGAGCCCGAGGTACTTCATCTTGGTATCCACCCTCAAGGAGATCCCGCCGATCCGGAGCTTTAATCGAGGTGGTCTCCCCCTACTTGCGTCATGAAAGAACAAAGCTTCCGTTTTCGGGGGAGACACCTTGAGACCCATGCTCCGGATGGAGTGCACCACCTGGTCGAGGGCCAGTTGGCCCATTTCCCTGGCCTGTTTCCAGCTCCGTCTCCCGGCCACCACTAATGTGTCGTCCGCGTAGCAGACGACGTTGCAGCCGGGGGGGAGAGCGGTCCGGAGAACCTGGTCGTATGCGATGTTCCGCAGAAGAGGGCCTATTACTAACCCCTGCGGAACACCGCAATACCCCCCCCCTTCCGCATTGGAGTTCCGCTTTATTGCGGAACTCCAAGCGCCTGTCCCGGAAGTAGTCCCTAGTTATGTGGACTAGGTAGGTCGGAAACCCAAAATGGGCCATTCCCGCCTCTACGCGGTCCCAGGGGAGGGTATTAAAGGCGTTGGCTATATCAATTGATATAGCCAACGCCACCCTCCTCTCCCTCACGATGGCCTCCGAGAGGGACCTGACGCGCTTGATCGCGTCCACGGTCGATCGGCCCTCTCGGAAGCTATACTGCGCGTCACTGAGCGTGGGACCATTTCAGGATAGGAGGCGGGCTTGTATGATTCTTTCGAACATTTTGCCCGCTTAGTCCAACAGACACAAAGGTCTGTATGCGGAAGGGGTGTCCTCCGGCTTGCCCTCTTTGCGTAAGAGGACCAGTCTGGCCCTCTTCCACGGGGCCGGTAACAGGCCAGCCTCAAAGCAGAGGGAGAAAATCCGCCTAAGGCGGCCCCCCAACCTCCCTTCCTCGGCCAAGGCCAAGGCCCATATTCGTCCCGGAATGCCGTCAGGGCCCGGGGCCTTTCCCTTGGCGCCGAGCCTCTTGGCGGTTCGCCTCATCTCCTCCATCGTCACCCCAAGCTTCTCCTCCTCTCAATCGGGAGGGATATTATTCCCCACCCCCGGGAACAGCCCCTCCACAATTTTGTCTAGGAGCTCGGGGTTAAGGGTGTCCGTAAGTGGGGGCGCCCATGGGCGCAATCGCCGCATTACCATCCGGTATGGGCACCCCCAGGGCTCGCGATCTACGGAGGAGATGAGGTCCTCCCAGGCCAAGACCTTGGCCTTGGCGATGGCCCTCCTCACGGCGCCTTTCCTCGCCGTGAGGACGGCCGATGCCGCCACCCGCGCGTCCCTGTCCCGCAGGGCTGCCATCGCCCTCCAGGCGCGGCCGGCGGAGCGCCTAACCTCGGTGATCTCCGCCGACACCAATAGGCGGCCCTGCGGGCTGGGGGGGAGGACCGAGGCATGTACGCATCGCACGCGCCCTGCATTATGCCCCGGATCCTCATAACTTCCCCCCCAATGGAATCGCGGGACCTGGTTACGGGCCCCGCTTCGTCCTAGTTGGCCGCGCAGATGGCGGCCACAAACTTGTCGCGGTCGAGCGAGGTCAGTGCCCACCTTGGCGGTCGGGTCGCCCCGCTGCCGCGCCTTGAGAGCTCCTCCCGAGGGGCGACGACGAGGCGGAGCTCTATGATCGGATCCGGTCTTCGCCTCAGTCGCCACCCTCCATCCCTGAACTTGTCGGGCGGCCGCAGGTGAGGTCCACGTCAGATCGACGATGGACTCCCCCTGCCACCCGACGAAGGTGCTCTCCCGGCCTCTGTTTTGTAGACTGAGACCGGTAGACGCAGCCCACTCCTGGAGGTCCGCGCCGCGGGGGCATGTCCCCGGGGAGCCCCACAACGTGTTGACATTGAAGTCCCCGGAGACAATAACCAGTCTGGGTAGGTGCCTCATTATGAGCGCCTCCAGCCGGTCCAACAGTCTCCCGAATTCAGCGCGGGTCCAGTAGGGCGGGGCATAACATCCGACCACATCTGTGGGCCTCCACTCGACCGCAACGTAGCCGGCTCCCCCCTCGACATGCCTTATCGGGGGGGGAGTCACGGCCAGTCCGTCCGAAAATTTCCACCGAGCGCCTACCCCTCTGGTCTCGGGCGTCTCCTAGTATGGAGGACGATTGCTCCGGGATCGAATAGGGCTCGGCGGCGACCCCAATCCCAGCACCGCGCTCGCGCAGCCCCTGGACGAACAGGTCCTGGGCCACCCGAGCGCGGCGTAAGTTGGCCTGGAGGAGAAGTGTACCTATTGTGGTGGTACACCCTCTCTCTCCTCCTGGTCAACTCCCGCAGTTACTGCGGGCTTCATAATGGGGGACCAGGACCTGCTGCCCCCGCTCCCCTCACTATCAGCCCCCACTTTGCCCCCACTCCCCCTCCCTGTCCTTCGTCGAAGTCTACTTGATTTCTGGGGAAGTGATGGCTCGAACTCCTCCCCCCTATTGGGGAGGGAGCTGTCCCTTCTAGGGGCAGGGGAGGCGCGCACTGTTGCGGGCGCCGCTCCTTGCACCTTTTTAATAGGTTCTCCCTCCCCCTTAGTGGGGGGAGGTCTGCCCTTTCCCTTTTTGGGGGACTGAGGGGGAGCTTAGCCCGACCCCTCACCCCCTTCTTTCTCCTTTTTCCGCCCATTGGGCAGAGGGAAGTGTTCATGCGATGGCCACAGGGCTTTTTGGCGTCGCGGCAGACAGGGCATTCTACCTGTCCGCCGCCCTGTGGCCATCCCGACCGCAGCGGTAACAAAGTCTGCTGCGATCTACCACCGATGTACATGTTGCCCTCACGTGGCCCCGCTGCATGCACCTTTAGCATTGCAGCGGGCGCCTCGCAAGGGCCTCCACACGGACGGTGGTCCACCCCACACGGAGGCAGCCACCGTTCAACACCTTCTTGGCCGAGGTCAACGGGCACTGCATCCACATGGTGCCCAGCCCGTTGGCCCCGGCACGAATTGCCCAGACCTTCACATCTTCGGGCCTGCATCCCCCAGACGACGCGATGGTAGTGACATCCTCCGTCGTTACCGCGTCGTCCAGGTCGCGGACCTGAAGCTCGACCCTCTTCGCCGGGCGCGCGATGCGCACTTCCTTCTCTTCGGCGAAGAAGCTCCTCATGCTGCCGGCCAGCGCGTCGGCCTTCGCGTGACCCTCCGGACCGGAGACCTCCAACACCAAGGCGCCGGTTGCCGTTCTTTTGGTCCGGAGGTCCCCGATCCCGAGGTCCGCCAAATTTACCTCCCCCCTCGCCCGGCGCATTACCTCTGCGTACGTGCCCGCTGGGCACGTCACCGATACAGCGGCCGAGCGAGGAGGTTTAGGGAGGGACGGAGAAGGCTTTGTGCCTCTTCATTTACCGCCCACTCTTTTGCCTCCCGTGCCCCGGGCCGGCGCGCGCTGTCGTCGACTCTCGACCTCCGAGGCCGCGCGGGGCGCCACTGGAGGGCCCCTTTCTGCCCCCCACTCCTCCCTTCTTTCTCCCCACCACCGTGGCCCACGTCTCCTTGGTCGGGCCATCGTCGTGGGGAGCGACCGCCCACAGGAAGGCGCCGCCAAGGTCCCGCGGCGGTTCCTCCTTGTGAGGGCCGGTGGTTTCACGGCGGGGGGGCAAGGCTCGCCCTTCCCCCTCATTCCCGTCCCGTGTGCTTTTCTTCCTCCTCCTCTTCTTCCTCTTCTTCTTCAAGGAAGAGGAGGACGTTGTCGTCCCCCCCCTGCCAGGCTCCAGTGCCTTGACCGTGAGGGAGGGTCACGGGCAGCCGTACGTCGGCCCCCCCCCCCCCC